GATGACTTAGATATTCCACAAAATATTACACTTGCAGATAGTTCATTTAACGTACCTGATAAAGTAGATATGTTGCTAGGTTCAACTCTATTTTGGGAGTTACTTTGTGTGGGACAAATCCAATTAGGTAACAATAAACCCATTTTACAAAAAACGAAATTAGGTTGGGTGGTAGCTGGCCCTCTTACATATCCATATAATTCCCCGTCTTGTCAAAGTTACCTGATTAATAAGGTTAATAATAATTCTGCATTAGATTTACAGATAGAAAAATTTTGGGTGCTAGAAGATTGTAGTAATAATAATCACAATTTCTCGAATGAAGAATTAGAGTGCGAAAATCAATTTTTAAAAACAGTTAGTCGTTCAGTAAATGGTAGGTTTATCGTTAAGATTCCCTTTAATGAAAAGATAAATAAATTAGGAAATTCACGCACTATTGCATTAAATAGATTTTTTAATTTTGAAAGAAAATTGCAAAAGAATACAATTGCGAAGCAAGAGTACGTAAAGTTTATGAAAGAATATCAATTAAAACATCCAATTGTATTGCCAGCAAAACACAATTTCACACAATTACTTTTTAGGCATGAACATATAAGATTGTTCCATTGTAGTAGCCAAGCATTACTTTATTCAGTTAGGCAAAAATGGTGGCCACTGTCTGGTCGCAATACCGCTAGGCTTGTCACTAGAAATTGCATCACTTGTGTGAAAACAAACCCGAAATGCATAGAACATCAAATGGGAGATTTACCAAAATCTCGTCTACACCTTGTCCACCGTTTTTTAATTGTGGTATTGATTATGCAGGCCTTTTCTTAATTAAAGAAAAACGTACCAGAGGAGCTAAACTAATAAAGGGTTACGTTTGCCTATTCGTGTGCTTTTCCACTAAAGCCGTTCATTTAGAATTAGTTACAAGTCTAACCACAGACGCATTTTTAGCTACTTTTAGACGGTTTATAAGTAGGCGCGGACGGCCCCAGAATATCTACTCAGACAATGCAACTACCTTTACTGGGGCTAACGCCGAAATTAAAAACTTATACAAACTTATAAATCAAAATCAGGAAAAAGTTATTAATAATTTGTCAACCGAAGGGATTAATTGGCATAATATTCCCCCTCGATCGCCTCATTTTGGAGGACTTTGGGAAGCGGGCATAAAATCTACTAAGACGCACCTAAAACGCGTTTTAGGTACAGCAAATTTAACGTTTGAAGATTTCTATACGGTATTGACGCAAATTGAATGTATTTTAAATTCCCGTCCTTTGTCATCCTTATCGTCTGATCCTAATGATTTGAACCCATTAACTCCCGGCCACTTTTTGATTGGACGATCTCCAACTTCACAACCTGATCCGGACGTGAAAGACATTCCCCAACCAAGATTATCAAGGTTTCAAAGACTACAACAACTTCTTCAACATCATTGGACCCGTTGGAGTAAGGAATATGTCAACGAACTCCAAATTAGAACCAAATGGAAACAGCAGATACCAACAATTTTAAAGAAAGGCTCCCTGGTAATTGTTAGTGAAGATAATCTACCGCCGCTCCATTGGAAATTGGGCAGAGTCGAAGACCTCTTCCCAGGTAAAGATGGAATCCGAAGGGTTGCCTTAGTTAAATTATCAAACACAACTGTGAAACGTGCAGTGAGAAAGTTATGTGTTTTACCCATCGAAACATAATTTGATAATTTGTTGTGAAGTGATTGAAAGACTTGGTCTTTCAAGGCGGGCAGTGCATGTTGTGAATTGGACCTTTTGTGTATTTTATTATAGTTGTCTAGCTGTCGTATTATTAGTTTATTCATCTTGAGCTTATTACCTTCCATTTATTAGTTGTACGTGACTATTTCTACTTTCATTTTTATTGCCAAATTTCCCTTATACCTTCCTTCCTAGAATGTCTAACCATCTGCACCCCTTGTAATTTCTTAAATCTATTGTTGTATCTGTGTTGTATTTACCTCTTGTATATAGCCTCTTCTTTTGTATATATATATTTTGTTGTACCTTTATTTCAGAACTTATTTGCATATTTATCATGTTATATACTTGTGACTATATTAGCTCCCTATCCTTCTCAATGAAATATAGTTTATCGACCACCTCCACAGGAAAATCATCTCTTCCGAACGAGCTATAATAGATTTAAATAGATTTGTTAAGAACCATCGTGTTTTTATTTATTGAAGTGTTTTTTAATTCAAAACATCAGTGCAGGTAGATTTTCTGTAAATATTATACTCTAGGTGACTTAAATGTTTTGTTACTTCTGTATCTAAAAAGTTTGATTTATTATTTGTTTCTAATTCCATTGTGAATTTTATGTTATTATAAAAAGAGTTACTTAAATCTAAAAACTGTTATAATTGTTCTAATTTGCCGTTCCATATGCTAAAAACATCGTCTACATAGCGAGTCCAATAGAATACATGTTCAACTGTTACAATTAAAAAGATCTTTCTACAAATTGTCCATGAAAATTTCAGCTGATAAGGGAGAGATGGGGGTACCCATAGGAAGACCGTTCATTCGTTTATAAAATTTGCCTTTAAATTTTAAATAATTTTGTGTGATTACATTGATACTGTTAATTAATTGTATTGTTTCTTCTTCTGAATTGAGGTCTGCGTTCATTATCCTGTTATTTAGTATAATATCTAATTATAAAGAAGAAAGGCTACTGTAGGGATAGGTAGTGCTTTAGTTTTTTTGGACGAATCAATAGAATTCTTTAACGCATATTTATGGTTAAAGTTGTACTGTGGTAACCTCTTATTTAATAATTTACCCAATTTATATAAACTATATTTTGAAACATTTTAATGTACTTTTATTGTCTTAAAATATTAAGCAATGTTTCACAAACCACCCACCAATAATATTGTGAATAATATAACTTGTAGCAGTAATATCCAGGATTTTTTTTAAATATAATGGAAGCAAAAGCACTTATACTATTGATGTACTATTTGAAACTGAACTGCGCTATACGTTTTGTTTTAAGAGAATGTTCACGGATATGGAGTGGAGGCTGTATATAAACGTAGTGATTTATCGTTCTGTAATAATATTCGGGGAATAAGACCAGGGAAAAGTTCAAGATCTCCTACTGCTGAAATAACTAATTCAAAATGACCTAACACCAGAACTTCACAGTGACGACTTTAATAAAAGCGAAGAAGTTAATTAGCAATCTATCTCACAACAAATCATTCCCAACAAATGAATGAAAGACTCTGCTATGAGTACATGCAGTTGAGCACATTAAATATAGCTAAACAAAAAATTGATGATTGTGATACAAGAATTACTGAGATATAAAAGCAATTCAATAGATGTAATGTAATGTAATGTAACTGATATACAGGCTGAATTTGCGGATAAAAATTTTCGCTTTAAAAATATTACTTGTTAAGTTAATGATGCAAAAACGGATATTATATGTGTTCAATCTATCTTATCAATCATTAATAACATAAACACATCCAAACTATGTTAAAAAACTCGGCTTAACATTAAATACAAAAAAATAATAAAGAAGAATTATAAACATAATGCTATAATCAGTTGTATTCCTAAGATGCTTGATGCTATTGCCTTAAAGTATATATTTGAATTTGTTAATCCAAGTGCAGCACAGTTTTTATTCGGTATTATCCAACATTAACGAATTTAATATTATTTAGGATTTATATCTCATTGCATTTTAGCATTATAAATAGGTAGATGTTTTTACTTAATGATATGAATAACACTACGGATATAAAACTCTTGTAGGATGACTTAAATAATTTAAGTACCTAGGCTGATAATAACGATCCAACCCCTAATATATCTACATGTTAAACCGTATTATTTATTAAAAATAGGGCTTTGCTTTTCACAACGATTATTTTTTACTTCTTATCTTAGAGTATATTGTTAGTATTAGATCTCGGCATTATTTTTGAATGTTCTCTCAATTTTAACTTATATTTGCAGCCCATGTCTAGTAGAACTGATAATCTTTTGGACCTTATAAACAGATCAACTGTAACATTTTGATTGATATATGGTTCTGTTAATTTACGTCCTTATATTCGTGTTAACATTAAGATACTTAAATCAATACTGTATAAGTTACTCAATAAGTTTTTAAGATACCTACCTACAGAAATACCTGTATGTTGTTTTTAAAACATACGTTCCCTAAATTAGTATTAAAAGAAATGCACATTGATCCCCAATCCGATATTAATATTTTAATGAATATTTTAGACAACTTTCTGTTATAGTTCTGCCAATGCTAAGAAATGGGAAATAGAGTTAGCAACTCTTAAGAGTAACAATGCTCGCTTAACTGCTGCTCTACAAGAAAGCACAGCAAACGTAGATGAATGGAAAAGACAGTTGCACAGCTACAAAGAAGAAAATTTGAGAATGAAAGCGAAATATCAGTCAGATCTCGAAAACATTAAAGGTCATTACTTATAAAAACATAATTATCTTTTCATTGTAACGATCACTTTATTAATAAAGTGTCATATAAAACAGGCTGAGAATAATATAACACAAAAATCTTAACGGTATCACTTTCAAAAGGTACAGAAATGCATGTTCAGCGTAACAACCGAAACGATAAAGTTAAGCATGTTTTTGATAAAATTTGTGAAATATTATTCCTAGTGAATTTTGCACTCATTTCAATATATTATTAAAAGGTTACACAATTAATACACCTCGAATAGTATTAATTACAATATTACTTTGCTGTTAGGGGGTGGTGATTTAGCGGATGAACTGCGAAAGGAAATTCATTCTCTAAGACGGAGGGTTGAGGAACTTGAAGCTGAACTCGATACTAAAAATAAAGAAGTTCAACAGCTGAATAATTTACATAAAGTATCTGAAACTTCTCAGGTAATTCAAAATTAATTGTAATATACATTTTGTAAATTTTTAAATTCAATCCTGATATTATAGATTAAAATACATTTTATGTGTTAATTTGTTAGCATACTGAAAATATGTTTGATTTAGTATTTCATTGAAAATTTTGCTCAAAACCGAAGGAACACATCATTTAATTTAAGTGACCTTTTTGCAAGAAGATAGACATTATGTTAATACTGATGTATGATGTGAGAATAATACGGAATTTGAGCACATTACATTAACAAAGAAGTCTTAATTAAGCGCAAATGCATTTTAAACCAAACTTACTGTTATTAATAATAATAAATAACNCTTTCATGGTTTTTAAATTTAATCAAAGAATTGAATTTTACTAATACAAATATCTATTATTTCGTCATTTTACGTAATATGTTCAAGAAAGCTGAACAAATTATTTAGTAATATAAATGTAACATCCTGTTTCAACGCATTTTAATTTCTTGGACGAAGCCAACCGTATTATGGGTAATTTATGCAAAAGAAGTATTAAGTACCTTCGAAATTGGTTTTATTTGTTGCACAAAAAAAATACTTATCCGTATCGTACATTTTATATTTTGAATGGTTTACATAACATTATTCATATACATATACATGTATTTATATATTTTAGGTAAGAAGGGTATTATTGTATCGAAGAATAAAGGAATGTTTATGCATGCAATTAAGAATATAATATTTACAAATTGAAATATTTTCTATATCGTTATTAGGCATGGTTGTTTTATGAATATTTAAATTTAACTTAATCTACATTGTATAAGGTTTAGTAGTGACCACCATGGGTATATTCTACTTGATTATGATCGATTTCATGTGCTTTTCCGACCTTGTGAACCACTGCATTAAAACCATTATGTTTGTCGGCTTTGTACTGAACTACTCTTGTGGTTCCGTCGGCTTCTTTTAAACTGTAGGTTCCCTTAACTTCATCTCCATCCCTTTCTTCATACTGCTGCTTTTTATCTCCAGTCCATGGGTCGTTTACTTCATAATTAAATGCGTATTTAGGGTAGTGCTGTTAATCAAATAAAAAGTACTCTATTATTGTTATTAGTATAAGAATTATCAGTCAGACAACACGCTTTTTAAGTACATTGATTTAATTATAGGGTTCAAGGATTTTCTTAGAGTGTTCTGTCGTATTCCACCGACTTTTACTTTTCCAAATATTTTACCATAATTCTCTGACGGCATCTTCGGTGATGACTTAATTTAGTTGTGACATTATCATTGTTAGTTACGATTCAGTGGAGTCTCATTCAATATTTCATTAAAGTTTCAAAACGTTTTGTATCTCGAAAAAAATAAAGTAAATAAAAATCAATAACTAATTGATTTAACAATATTTCTATTTGAAGGAATGCTTCAACAGTAATTTCTAAAACGAATGTGATACATACGAAATGTTCTGCTCTATTATTTTTCTGTTTCATCTTTTAAAAATACTTACGTAAGGTTCCGGTTTATGTTCATATTCACCAACACTATATCCTTCATACCCATGTTCTATGTAGCCACAGCTAGCCAAAACAACCAGACAGACAACTGCTAATGAAATCTGTACAAATATTTTATTTTACTATTAACTACTCGAAATAAATTCCAACAATTATTCGTTATTTAAACTGTTATTGTTGTGATTTTTCGCAACTGAACTATCCATAGCAACAAAATCATATTTATAAGTAGCAAATGTCCGTTATTTAGTTAAAAAGTGTAACTCACTTGTGTGTAGTGGATCATGTTGTTCTTCTGTTTTTGTATACTAGTTTGTTGTTTTCAAAACACTGTGAGTATCAAAAAAAAGATTTGCCTTTTATAAGGGGAACCACCCACCTAAAGGATGCGCCCCCTTTTCACTTTCTCTTATTATATAGTGTGCATGATACATTATTATCGCCTAACATTTAGCGGCGTTAATTTTTACTTCCAATTCAGCGAACGTAATTTTACGATTTTAATAATTACGCTTCACATCGTGCAAGTTGCAACGCATATTTCCTTGAGAACTAAAGAGAAACGGAACGAATAGTGCGTGTTTTTTACATAATTTGAAAAATAATGTGTTATTTTGATTTCAGTGTTCACAAAATTAAATCAGTTTTACCCAGGACGTTCTTTTGTATTTTAATAAGAAAGTGTCTCTCAAAATAATCATTAACTTGGTGTACGTTAAATATTACGACTGCGACTTCTGTACTTCATTTTAATGATTCTCCTTTATATAATTTTTATTAAAAACAGTTTAAGATCTTGGTCGGTAATTTATTGAAACTACCAGACGTTGATCTTGGTTTAAAACTTATTTGTTCTCATCAGCACGCCATAGACAGTTTCTACAAATTATTAACCATAAAATGAAGATGGTATAATATCATAAGATAGTATATCTCTATTTAATGATGCATAGTTATTATCGTTTTACTATTTATTTTATTGTTTAATAATTCGCTATATACATACATTGTATAATATTCATAAACTGTAATTGATGTTGAAAATAGGGTTTAGTTAGACCAAAAATTTTCATATTTAGAAATGTGAGTCGATTCACATTTTATGTTGTTTATTAATCGATTAATTTGAAGTATCGCGTAAATAATGTCTACAATTATAGTGGGTGAACTACATGTCCGCTCTTCAAAGTGTTTGTGGTAATTAGAATTGTCTCCCTTTTAGTTGATTAACTGTCAAAAAACGAAAATGTAATACTTAAGAAATGGGTACCTGCTTAAAAAAAATTCGATTGATCACGTTTGATTTACCTTACATTCCCTGAGATCCCTACATACAAAGTATAAAAATACCAGACAGAATTTAAACTTTTACATGTTTTTAAATATTTTTTTCTAGATTTTAGATCATTTTACTTATGTATATTTGTTAATAGCGTTGACGAATAAGATTTGTATGATCGTACAGTACTAAAAAAATGTATTCCCATAAATAGTTATCTAAGTATTTGTTAGATATGGTAATTAGTGTTAGATGAATATCGGCATAAACAATATAATTGAGTTATCGAATAAGCATAATTTACTACTAATTCTTGTTTTCATCGTATAATCTGATCTATTTCCTGAAAAAGGAAACAACCATGACGTACTACTATTGTTCTGCTTCATACAAATACTTATCTTGCTAAAGACTAGTTTATACTACTTATTCATTTTGTAAGTCAGTACCGTTAAATAAGAAAATCTTCGTTTACATAATTTCACGTTTTGTTGAATCACTGAAAGTGAAAATTCTTATTACCAGGTACTTTAATTATTTATTATTTTCTTACAGTGGTGCTATAATACTGTCCATAGACATATGTTATGTTTTGTGTTCATTTTAAATTCAAATTTGACTTTCAATTTCAGTCAACTACGTACTATGTCTTATATAGATGTCGCGCTTTATGACGGTTAAGTATGCTCTTGCAAATTATTTTCTAGGCTGTTGACTAAAGTAAGTAGCCCGGAACTAATAAGGTTAGTAAACTATAATAAAAGGCCATAGTCAAACAGATATGAAATCTTGCAAGTACGTTGAAATGAAGAAATAGAATGAAATTAACTAGAAACTAATTATGAAATATTAAAATTTTATGACTAAAGTTAATTTGATTAAAAAGAGCATCATTAACTTATTCTGCAAAATAGACTCGAGTATTACAACATTTAGCATAATGATTGAAATCGGTTACAAGTACATATTACAAGCTAACGATTTTCCTCTGATCAAAACTACAAGTTTATCTATTTTGAAATAAACAATCCTAAAAGAGGGTTTGCGTTTTTATCAAACAAAGACGTGCTTCTAAAGTTTCTAATTGTTTGATTTAATTTTAAAAAGGCTAGTTCTTTAGTAATGGGTTTTTCAAGTAACATTATTTCATTTTGATGTGCATGCATTGCGGAATTTTGATAAAACTCAATAGGTCTAAAATAGTTTTATGCCTTTGGTTGCAATCTAATCTATTTATTTAAGGCTCAATTTAAATGGGTAGATTAATAATTTTCTTGTTGTCCTTTTTGTGAAATATTCAAAAATCCAAAAAGTCATTAATAACGGAATTTAGTAGTCGATTCATAAGATTAAAAAAATTAATAACGTGAAAACCGTAAACATTTTTGGACTGGTTGTATCGATTAAATGAATATAGACTACGTTTGCAACTCAAAAGCTTTTTCCGAATACTTCCTAGATTTTAGAACATTTGTGAACAGTTCGACCAAAAACACATTTTTCAGATTTAAATGGTCAAATGACAATATTTGCATTGAAATATTAAGTGGCTATTAATTTTTAATAAAGTAGCTTGCGATTGCAAGAATATTTTGATGTGTAGTTCACGTAGAGAGACGTTTTCAATTGTCTGGCAGTAATGTTCTACTGCTATGCGAGTTTAGTAAGTACTGGCTTAAATAATTCTTACACAACTAAGTCATATACATATTATCTTATTCATGTCTATACGCCAGAACGAACCTATTTTTTCTCCATCGATAACCATATATGTTGAAATTACTCGCATTTATTTAAAAACCTTAACTTTTAGCGAATTGCAAAGGTTTCCGGTTACTTCCGAAGCATGTTTACAGTGGTAGTAATTCCCTAGCATGAAATCTTATAAAATATAATGAATTGCCATGGTTAGTGGGTAAATTACGAACTGCAGAAAAACAAAGAATTAAATAAGCGGATCTATACTAAGCTTTCTCAATTAAAATTTAATGTGTGTATTTTTTTTAAAATACATTACTTGTATGCAATATGCAGAAATGTTAAGATATCTTAATCTTAAAAAGATAAGTATTTTTTATTTATGAATTAAAAGCAGTAGTTAATGTTGAAGTCAACGTATGGGCAGTCTTTTTTTTAATATTAAGTTAATAAACATTTATCATTGTAACAAGCCTACAAGTAAATATTTAAAAGAACCAAAATAAACTAAAAATAATGAATTTTAAAATTTTNAGTCCATACAAAAGTAAATTAACTATTATATTCAAATTTACATTTAACATAGATCACGAAAACGAGAGAGAGGAGGTAGAAAATCTTCATTTTGAATGTTCAGTTAATATAGCAAAACAAATTCATTATTTAAACCTTACTGAGCGAGATTGTACAGTTGCAAATATTCCTGAAACTCCTAGTCAAAATGCTTCTTCATCGCAATCCACCCTTCCAAAAATAAACATTAAACAGTTTAATGGTGATTTCATTGAGTGGCATAGTTTTTACGATACATTTAAATCATTGATCCATGATAGTGATTCAATCTCGCTTAATGCATTTAAAGATAATTATTTGATTGCATGGAACCTTCTTAAAAAAGGGTTTAACAATCGGCGAAAAATAATTTGCAGTCATCTTCGCGCTCTTTTTGAATTGCCTGAAATTTCTAAGGACCCTTCTTACGCTACACTACGATCATTATCAGAAAAGGCTGAAATGTACGTTAATGCACTAAAGACTCTAGAATAACCAGTTGAATGGCATGAGATGTTAATATATATTGTTTCGGCTAAATTAGATAAACAAACGCGTACATTATGAGAACGTTCTATTGAAGAAGATCAGAGACCAGCATTTTTAAGTTTTTTTATATTTTTTAAACAAAATTTCTCGTGATACAGAGCCGGTCCCCTTATTCAAGAAATTAAATGAAAACGTAAATTGTAAGCAATCCCCATCAAACAAGTATAGTTATCAGCATCACAGTAACAAACGAAACATGCATTCATACCACACGACTCAAGTAAATAATTCTTGCGTAATTTGTTCTAAAAATCACAATATATATAACTGTGACATATTCTTAAATTAAATACTTAAGAGAGAATAGAATCAGCTGAAAGATCAAATCTTTGCATAAACTGCTTAAAACCAGGTCACAAAACAATACAAACATTTCAATTAAAAAAAGTGTTACAAATGGCACAGTTTTATCTCCATTCTTCGCGGTAAGATGTTTAAAACAATTAGCCGACGATGATGGTAAAAATTTTCCTTTGACAGCTGAAGTACTCAAAAACGATTTTTATGTAGTTCATCTACTCATTATTAGAACACGCACGAAAGCTCAGGGACGAACTAATAAAACTATGTGTGAAAATAGGCATCGAACAACACAGCCTTAATGGAAAACATAGATCACATTTCACAAGAAACTCAATTTTTATTCGATTCGTCCTCCAATAAAAAAACCTTAAGTGTATACTGGAATCAGGTCAATGACAATATTACATTTTCTATATCATTTAATTCTTCCAATGAAACCAACATTACGAAACGTACAATATTATCGCAAGTCTCACAACTTTTTGATCCTTTAGGTTTGCTAGGACTAGTCATAATTTTAGCAATAATAATAATACAACAGCTGTGGAAACACAAATTAGATTGGGACGAGTCAGTTCCACAGTCAATATACACGATGTGGCAAAAATATAAAGGAGAATTATTATATAATATCAAATTACATTGTTTCTGGGATGCAAGCCAAAAGGCCTACGGTGCTTGTATCTATACTAGATGTGTGGATGAATCAGGTAACATAAGCACACAATTAATATGTGCCAAATCTAGAGTAACCGGATTGAAAACAATATCTTTGCCCCAATTAGAATTATGTGCAGCAGTACTTCTGATAAGACTTTATAAACAAACAATTTCGGCCTTAAAAACTAAATTTGATACTGTAAAATTCTGTTCAGACTCAATGATAGTATTGCACTGGATAAATACCGCACCAAATTAAAACCTTTGACTGGTCACATGTCAGATAATCCTGCTGTTTGTATTTCACGCGGACAACAACCATCAAACTTTATTTATAATAAAATCTGGCTTCACGGGCCTTCTTGGCTTTTAAAAAATGAAAAATGTTGGCCACAGAGTGCAATTGAACCGAATTTATTTATTCCCTAGCAGAAAACTGTGGTTATGCTCTTGGCCCATTCTAACCATGTTAATTTACTAAAAAGATTCTCTTCATTTAGTAAACTTCAAAGAACGTTCGCATATGTATTACGTTTCATTTCAAATTTACGTCAGCAAAATACATGTACAGGCCCACTGTCGTTGTTAGAACTTTATGCCTCCCATACGCGTTTAATGTGCCTAATTCAAATAGAAACATTTTCTAAAGAAATTAAAAATTTTCAATCAGGATCTCCGGTAAACAAAAGAATTAAAATCGCTTCTCTCAATCCATTCATAGATGACCGAGGCATTTTACGGGTAGATGGAAGACTAAGACATTCCAACTTAAAATTTTCTAAAAAACATCCGATTTTACTTCCACGTTCTCACGACGTAACTCGTTTGATAATTCAAAGAGAACATAAATGGCAAATGCATGCAGGTGTACAATGCACTTTAAATGCGGTTAAGCAGAGTTATTGGCCTGTTGATAGCAAAAATACTACGCAGCATATAATTCGCAAATGTATTAGATGTTTTAAGGTAAATCCATCGTCAAATTCTAACGATTATGTGATGACTGATCTACCAAAAAGTAGAGCTATTGCTTGGAAACCACTCGAAAATATTGGTATTGACTATTGCGGACCGTTTTTTATGAAAGAAAAATAATTCAGAAATACTAAACGCATAAAGGTCTACGTTGCAATCTTTGTTTGCTGTCTGGAATAATATTCAGCAGTTTACCTGTTTATAGATAAAATTGCATGGCAACATTAAGTAATACACATTCAGATTTCAAGTCTCTAAGTTTTATTTTAGACGTTGAAATTTATAGGGTTGTTCGGAAAGTCATTTCGTTTTTTTTTTGTGGAAATGAAAGACAGTTTTCGTATAATAAACAAATACTTTATTAAATTATATATTGACCGTTCTGGTCCAACACCTTTTGCCATCTTTCTGGTAGTAGCATAATTCCACGCTCATAAAATTTTTGGTCTTTGCTGGCAAAAAACTGATCGAGGAGGTTTTTGACCTCCTCATTTGAGGTGAAGGTTTTACCGTCTAAAAAATTTTGGAGTGACCGGAACAAATAATAATCCGATGGTGCCAGGTCTGGAGAATATGGTGGGTGTAGCATTGTATCCCATTCAAGCTGTAAAAGCTTTTGGCGAGTGACCAAACTTGTGTGAGGTCTCGCGTTGTCTTGGTGAAACACTACACCTTTCCTGTTGATTAGTTCTGACCTTTTCTGTTGAAGTGCATCATTCAGTTTGTCCAGCTGATGACAGTAGCCTTCCGAATTAATCGTTTTGTTATCCGGTAAAAGCTCAAAAAAAAAACGATTCCTTTAAAATCCCACCAAACAGACAGCATCACCTTTTTTGGTGAATATCGGATTTGGAAATGGCTTGAGCCGGTTCATCTTTTTTGCTCCATGACCTCTTGCGTTTGACGTTGTTGTATACAACCCATTTTTCGTCCCCAGTGATGATGCGCTTCAAAAACGNCATTTAATTTAAGTGACCTTTTTGCAAGAAGATAGACATTATGTTAATACTGATGTATGATGTGAGAATAATACGGAATTTGAGCACATTACATTAACAAAGAAGTCTTAATTAAGCGCAAATGCATTTTAAACCAAACTTACTGTTATTAATAATAATAAATAACAAAATAAAAGTCGATAATGTAAAAGATTTTGGCATCTTCATAAGACTTAATGTAATGTTTTTCTATAATTTCAGCAATTTTTATGAAAATTCTTATCAAAAAGTTGTGCATTTATTTAATATTAAATAGTTTTATTTCAGTAGTTTTTGTGGAAATACTAATTGGTTCAATTTCAGTCTTTACAGAAGGAAAACCAAGAACTTCAAGCGACTGTAAAATTGGCTCAATCAGAACTTGATGTTGCGCTAAGTGCCCATGAATCTCAGAGGCAGGTCCTCTTAACTCTTAATCAACAGTTAGCAGTACGAATCTCCGACTTGGCAACTATTCACGAAGAAATTAGTACAGCATTACAAACGTGAAACGTCTAAGTTGCAGTTATTGAACGTACTTATTCATTCGTATTATTCGGCTTGATTAAAAATAATATTATTTATAGTGGAAATGTGAAAACTTCACAATTATTGCTATATCGTACTGAATATTTTTAGGTTGTTAACGCAGAGTCTGTTTTTAGAATTTTAACCTCGTATAATAGGTAACGTTTTAGAAGCTTTTAAGTATTAAGTAGATATTATTTTATTTATTTCTTTTATTTGATTAAGTACATTAATATTTGTTGGGGTAATTGATTTTATAGCTCACTATTGAGTGTATTTATATTTTTACATTTCGTATATTATTTTGACTGTTATTACGTATTTTGATTTATATTAAATCGAAATCATGTTGAAATTTATAAGAAAAGTGAAATTAATAATATGGTAATTATACATCCTGTTTATTTTACTTATAGAACAAACCCTATCATAGCATAAAACTAATTTATTATTGCGATTACTAAGAACTACAAGCCTTTAACTACTCCGGTATTGCTGTGTTGAAGTGCGGACCTGTTGTATCAAGCTCTACGTGCTTTTGTATAATTTTGAGGTGAATTGTAGGCGATTTGGGCTATGACGGAGTGGCGAAAAGAGGACATTGTAATCAGTAAATAAAATAAAGAACCTCTGTTTTTTAAGGGTTCCTTTGGTGCCTTCGTAAGTGAAAATTTTTTAAGTTTGTAGCATTCATTTGCTTGTATGGCCTCCGAGGGGTCGACACGGGCACCTAAAATAAGAAGATATAAGAAAAGCGGAAAACCGAGCTTGACAGGAAAGCACATAAAAAAAGACTAGTGAACTAAATAAAGACACACTGCATACCCCACTGTTGAGAAATTGATTATAAAATGTCAACTTGCGATGACTCAGAGATGAGAGAGAGAGGTGAGGTAGCTATCGAAACCAACGAAGATTTGAACAAAAAGGCAGACCACTCGGGTCTAAAACCGACTTATCCTCATCAGACAGAGGCAAGAAGATGGAGAAAACAATGGGTGAACTGCAAAAAGAATTACAAGAAAAAATGGAAGAAGTGGAAGAAGATATGCAAAAGAGGAAAGATGAGAACGGAACGGTCATAAAGGATAAGAAAAACCAGGAATAAAAGTAATGATAAGGATATTCTGGCTCATAAGATATATAGAAAATACCTTAGGAGCACAGCTGAAAAGCATACAGCAAACAAACAATGTTATGAAAAACAAAAATAAACTGAGGCAAGGAAAAGACAAAATATTTATAAACGATGACACAGCATGGCAATAGCAAAAGAATTGAGAGAAATAGGGACAAAGTGCAAAATTATCTACAACAAAATAACAACAGAACAAGAGGAGCTATTTAGGAATGATTAATAATAACTATAAGAAAAACATGCAAGTGGTATTCTGGAACGTACCTATGGGGCATAAATGGTTTATACGAAGAGGATTGGGAGGAATTAAAGGAAAACGACATACTAAATGTGAACGAGACCTGGATAGAAAAAGAAAAAGATGTTCAATTACAGAAGAAGAAGAAAAGAAACAAAGAAAACCCAAAGGAGGTTTGGTCACAGCGTTCAAAAAAAAATTTTCTAGACAAAGAAATCACTACAAAAAAAGTTAATTATGAGTGTATACAGGGTGGTCTATTAAGCATGCATTGCTTTCTGGCTGTCTTGCCGTTGAAATTGGAAGAAAATGTTCCCAATAAAAAATGTTTCTGGTCAAATGATCTATCTGCGGAAAAGTAAATTACTAAGATGGCGGACTTCCGGATATACCGGAAATATACATCAGCTGCCATATTTTAAATAGAACACTGTATATTACAACATTTTTGAATTCAGTGTCGATTTTAATGTCCAGTTTGTTAAGCATAGTATTTGCCTGTGCGGTATCTTTTTGGAGTTATTTAGTAATTTTTAGAAAATTTGACATTTGTAGTACCTTTCAAAGATTTTAATAAAAAATGGCATGAAATAAAAAGTGCAACAAAAGAGAAAGGTAACATACAAGTTTTCTACATGGTGAGAAAAAAATAGAGACTATTGATTGAAAGAAAGAAGAAAGAACAAGAAACAAGAAATTCGTCGGAGGCTAGAAAAGATAAAACCGACAAAAAATTCTGGGAACTCATAAACAATCAAAGACGCAGAAGAGATAAATGTCGGAATGGGTACAGCATTTTAAAATACAAATGAAGGGAACAGACTTACAAGAATCATGCAATGGAAATAAGAAAACTGAAAAAAAAACAAGAAAAACACGAAATAAGTGAAGATATTAAAAAGTAATTAAAAAGATGAAAAAGAAAGCAGCAGGAGAAGACAAAATACCAAATGAAGCATGGATTTACGGAGAGGATGAGATTATAGAGGATCTACATGAGATAATAAGTGATATATGGAAAGGAAAAACTACCAGAAAAATGGAGGACGGGCATTGTGACACCAATATACAGAAAAGGAAACAAAGACAAGGTAAAAATTATATAGGAATCACACTTATGGACATTGTATATAAAATATACGCGGAGTTACTAAAAAATCGGCTCTAGACAGAAATGGAAGAGAAGAATCTCATGGATGATACACAAATAGGATTCAAACAAGGGAGGATACTATTAAAGAAAAAGGAATAACATTACACCAATTGATGTGTAACAGAAAGAGATGCAGAGAAACAGAGTTTGAGCATGTTAATAGTTTTAAAGAAATTTCAACATTCTCAGGAATTTAGGAAAGCAAATATACTTTTTTAAATATATAATTTCCAATCAGCTGTTCTTTAGTGTACCTAAGCAGTCTCTAACCGCTGAACCGCTTACATTATTCTCTTTTCACTTTGTCTGCACTATTCATGAAGCATTTCCTAAGGGGCGTGTTCAAAATGTAGCAAATGACTACAGTCCGAAGTGGAAACAAGAAAAAAGATATGTCCATTCCTACAGATAATTTATTGCGGACTATGCTAATTTTGATCGTCCCAAACATACTTTACTAACCACGATACAGTTTTCTTTTCCAATTTATTTAATAGCATAAAGGTTCGTAAAAACTTGTTGGAAAAAATAGGCTACTCGAAGTACTAATTCCAAGCAGACGAAATAAATAAATACATGAATAAAAAATAAAAAAATAAACTAATATATAAATAAGTAAATGTCAGCCCCAAACCAATGCCCTGAGACGAAACCAATGCCCTCGGCCCAAAACAAATCGCGGGCGAAGCCGCGGGCAAAGATACTAGTCTATTAATATATTTTATTGAGACCAATACAATCCAATTCTGCCCGTGATAGTCGTGGCCAAATTCCGTCCGCACTCCACCGTACCCTTGCCTTAGTTTCATAAATATTGCTGTATTGTATTGAACCTTGGATCACTTTGGCAAATGTTGGAGCAATAATAATATTCAGCAAATAGTTATTCACTTCTCTTCTGCCTCCTCATCATTCTCACCCCAATTACCACCCACATATTCCCAAAATCACTAAAAGGAGGCTGAAGAGGGCTTTCCGGCGTAGTCTGTAGGAACTTCCCCTCTAACTAGCTTTAGTAATTGGTAGGAATGAAACACCTAAAATATTTTTAATGTTATTTGGCCTGTGAATAGAATGGTCGGCTAGTATATTAGTGGCCGATGTTCTATTCGTGCCAGATTAGGTACCTTTTTTATTTGTCAATTTTTACTAATTTCCTTTTTTGATTGATATCCTTAGAATTTCATACTCAACATCCTAACTCATAGTACCACGGGTGTCTTAAGATAAAGTACCGCAACGCGATGTAGCACAACAGCCTATTATTAATGTAGATACCCTGTCTTATACCCAGAGGCGGATTAAATGTCGAGAGCGCTCTAGGCTAGCACCTAATAGGCGCCCCTCTGGCGGTCATATATTTTACAAAATACTTTTTTTTTTATTAGGTACTTCCTTATTTTCTGTTTTTTTAGGTTTAAAAACTTCCGCGTGCGCCCCTTTTTAACCTTGCGCCCCTAGGCATATGCCTACATTGCCTTATGGATAATCTGTCACTGCTTAGGTATACCGCATGTACCGCATACTCATATTCTAAGACGTTACTATTAAACTATGATTATGAAATAATGGTGAAGATGCGAAACCGAAAGAGTTAGTTCTTTTAAAAAAGTAGAAACCAATCAATACTTATTACTTGCTGATTTCCGTTTATTATTTTTAAGTAAAAATGAAACTTTTGTTGAAATTAAGTAACTTCTAGAATGTGTGTTCGCATCATTTTTGTAAAGACATAGGTACTACTGAACATTACCATCTTGTAACTGATATTGTTCTTTAGGTTCACCAATGAAACATTTGTTCATTAACAGTGGCTGAGGTGCATAATTGCCTAATGCTTTTTTGAATTACTTTTTCCAAGCACACGGTTTGTCTGTGCATGATAATTTTTCTGCCTCACGAATATCATTTCTCTAAAAAAAATGTCATCACAGTTAATATATACTGATTACTACAATAATTGAATTACTAATGACTAGAAAACTTACGATAAGTATATGAATATTGTAAGGTCATATTATAACAATGTTACACTGATATGTTTACGTAGCCCAGCTTTACATGAACATGTAACCGACAAAAGTTTCATCTTTTAGTTTAATTATAGCATTAATTTCGTGAGGGTTTTTTTTTTAAACTGAGATGTTTTGAGGTAATATGTCTAACTAACCCTATTTCCCCGCTCATTTTCAGGTATCATTTTTATCACATTTTATGATGAGACCAGCTTGCAGAATCCGTTCACCTTCAACAAAGTTCCTTCGTTTAGAATTTATACCAGCCCATTCACAAATTGCACTTATACTTATCATTAATTATCAGTTTAAAAAACACCATTACACAAAACTATTTCGTGTTTAAAACTATCCCTTAAGTTGGCCATAGTTTTTAGAACCCTCCCATTTGATGGATCCCAATACCTTTCGAATTTTCTTTTTAGTCCAGGCGGTATCTGCTTGTAAACACCTTTCTTTGGACGAAAAAGGTAGTATACTAGACTTTGTTAGGATGACATTGGTGACCCCGACGTAATTTGAACACGCAACCTTCTGATTTGGAGAAATAAGCTACAGCACCATCTTATGGACCACAAATTATCCAGGCCTCATACCGGGAAGATCGGAGTTAGGCCAACCAAATGAGTCAACATGCGGACTTCAGCCGCCACTGCGCCAGCATCCGTGGACCGCTTGGCAGTCAAACTGCCACCCCTTGTTCCGTCAGACCCGTGTTATGGTTCTGTGTAGCAAGTCGCAGCTTTGATGCCTCTGCGATTACTTCGGAAGCTACCAAATTTGGGTATGTACTTGGTAATCTTCTTCCCTGATATACCGCAGAAGTACATGACATCATTGTTAACTCTC